CCCCCCCACCCTGCCACCTCTCCATCTCCCCCTCCTACTACCCTGATTTCTGCAGATCTGCATTCTGAGCTATCGAGATACTGCACTTTCTTCTGCCCTATACACAGCTTACTTTGGTAATACTGTTGTATACTACAGACCCAAATTGTCTGCTATTAAAGTTACCTACATTTTTAATGTACTTCTACATTTTAATTATAGAATCTGCAATTAAACCTTATTCAAAAAATAAATACACAACTGTTGTGCAAGCTACTTTCCAGTTTAATTTTAATAAATTATATTACCTTTCCATTTCAGTCTACAGCCTGCAATGATTTAAAAAAAACTGACAACATTTCAAATATTGCTTTCTTCCTTTCCATTGTCCCATCACTATCCTTGTGACTTAACTGGCCAAAAACAAGGGGCACTACTAGCAATTATTGAATGGTATTTGCTAACTTGCAGCAGGTTCTAAAGGTTCTGGGGAGCACATGAAGAGAAGTGCGTTCAGCTAACACCCCGTGCCATGACCTGTGCACATGATTTTTTTTTTTATATTTCCTAAATTTATTTTCTTGAAACATATACTTTAATTGACCACAGCATACCAATCTAAAATATCGCACAAAACACCTGAACCCAAGAGTTAAAGTGTATGTGAACCTTGAGAATCAAATTTTGTGATTACTTTGTAATGTTCCATATTAAGCCCACTGCAATCACTGAAATGTTGGTAAGACCTTTAATACCTAGTGATCCTGCCAGTCCTCCTCCAAAATATCCCCTTCTTGTTTGTCACTGACCACGCTAGGCACAAAAGTAGATCAGTCCTAGCATAGTCAGTTTGTGTCTCTTCTTCTTACTTTGCAGGTTTTACAGCATGTCTGTAGCAGATTAATGCTACCACCTCACCCTCAGCCATGTTGCTACACCTCCCCAACCAAACTGCTGTAGGCAGGGACTGTCAAGGGATGTCAATCATCCCTGTATCTCCACCTACAGCCTGAGGATGCTTCACAGGTTTGTGACTGTGACATCAGTAGAAGCCAGCAGCATTTTTTTTTTTTGCTCTGCCGTCACCCACGGAACTAAGGAAAAAAGGTGTCACATGATAAATACTAAGAGGCTTTAAAAAAAAGCTATTGTAAAGCTAAATTTTAACATTTCACTAACTTTGAATGATTACTGCTGTTTCCTGATGCTTGTGGTTTTGTTAGTGGTAGGGTTAGCATATACTTTGAAGAGAGATTTGATCTGATAAAGATTTGGGAATCATTTCCATTTAGTTATTTTATGTTGTTTTAAAACTGACGTTTTTATATACTTTTTCCAAAAAAACAATAAATAACGGGTGCACAAATGACTTTGGTTTTGCAGAGCATTCAAATTTTTTCTAAAGACAGAGCACTGCATTAGCTCCGTTTGTGTCTGCCAAACCTCTAATTGAAACTCCTTATGTCCCCATATTGTTAGAAGGGGTTGGGGGACTCCTTCTGATTCTTTCATGTGTGTTCAATACGTTTAACTAATTAGCTCTGTAAACATCACAGACCTTTAGTCAGCAAAGCAGTTAACCCAAGCCTTGTGAACCCTTGACAAGAAGTGTAGAGTTTCACCTACTGACTGCAAACGGTGCACATGAAATATTTATATGCAATTTTTCATATTTACCCGAATAAAAAAAAAGGAAAAAGATTTATTTTGTAGTTCTGTAACCAGTAAAGAAAATATGTACAAAAACACTTTACAAATTGTTTCAGCTGTACAGCATAACAGACTATCCCTGTTGGCCAAAATACATTTAAAAAAGAACTATGGCCAAACTGTTTTTGGCTTTAGTACTCTTTTAGGTCACAGGTGGACATTTACTAATGTCCTCCTGTGACCCAAAACTCAGTATATAGCGGGCTAATGCCCGCTATATACTGACTGAGCAGAGCCATGCTGCAGCCGGGAAGGATCCCGAGAATATTGTCAGGATCCACCCCACTACCTGAGAGGGATTCCCTTAGAGGGAGCAGTGACTGACCGCTCTCTGCAGGGAGAAGATCATGAACTGAGTGATCAGCGGTTTGTGATCGCACAGTTCTCAATCAAAAGAGCCAACATGTGACACCTCCAGTGTCACATATCAGCTCTAACTATGGGGATGAGTGCATTTCATAGTTCTCCTTTTAAATTACATTCAGAAAATTGCAATCTTAGTAAGAAAATATAAAATTTAATTTAAAATATAAAGCTAATAAAATGTAATGCAGGTCAAACAATAATGGAATATCCTCAATAGAGAGTGGAAAAGTGATACAGATAAATCAAAAATTGAAAGTCAGAGTTGAAAGAAATTATGGTCCATAAGCAGTTAAAGCAACTGTGCAAAATGCCCACAGTCAGACACAGTAATGGAAAGTTGCAGGTGTGGGAATATTTTGCCTATTCTGTACTTTTGTTTGTATAACATGAACCAAACATTGACAAATGTAGAACTTCATTCTGCAGAGCTATGGCATTTTACATGGGAGATAATCTATTTGCTAGAAGTCCTAGAAAGATCCTACACTTACATCAAAGTTATGCCAGCTGTATTTCAAGCCCAAGGAAACTCACTGCAAGCTGATCTGCATGGCTTTACCTTAATGCTACTAATCATCTTCAGTTAAAAGAGAAAAATAAGGTACTATTACAAGACACTCTCCATGATGTTCTAAAGTGCTGTTCATAGTGATGATTAAGCAATTGCATACATTAAAGTGTTTAGTATCTAAAGACAACACTTTTTTTTTTACTTTGAAAAGTGTGTGACATATTAGAAACCCTGTCAGGTTTTTATTGCCCTCTGTGTCTCTACTAGGAAGATTCACTCCAAAATGTGTCACAAGAGTTGTCACTAGAAAAGGGTAAGTTGGAATGTCTGCCAATGGGGAAATTTTTTCCAGTGACAACCAAGCGATTTGTTTCACTTTGGAGAGGTTACCTCTCCACCTCCTGTGGCACCTACAGGACGGAAAATGAAATCTTCCCAATGGCCAAAAAAAACATCTGACACGAGTGTTAACTATTCCCTACTGTATCCTAAAATAAGTTTTGGCTATTCAATGGAACCTTCCACTGCAGCAAAACTTGACAAGAGTTCTAACCCTTCCCCACTCTGTCCAAAACTACAAAGAAAATGAGGGGTCTAGATATACTTTATTATACTGAGGTAGTTTGACTGACATTACAGTAAAATTATCAACCTCTTTAGTAAATCGGCTCAAATGTTTCCAGTAAATGCAATTTGAGCAGAAGACTACTATGAGGCCCCTAGTTTGTTAACCACATACAATCACATAAGAAAACAGAGTAAAATCTCTACTGCCTTTATCAGGCATACATTTGTTAGAAGACACTATGAAAGGATTGTATTTATCTCACTTCTAAATCTGAAATGAATTTTGATAAAGCCTAAATCTGTTTACTGTTCTCCGAGTCAATTATGAACACACAAAATGTTCACAGAGGAATACAGAAGTTGTTACCGCATTTCTACGATAAAAATGTTTACCATATTTTAATATTAAATAAAAATATCAAATCTATTTAAAAATAGGTCCAAGCGCCATCCTCATGAACCAAAAATACCCCAACCATCATAATGTCTCATCTAACATGCTCTACTCCACTCGGAAACCAGAAACAGTGGCAGCGTGAGGAATGTAAACCGCTTCCCTTCTCAATTCTGTTTTCTGGCTTTGTTTTTTTATTCTCTCCTTTCTACCCTTACTTTACTCTACCTGCATCCCTCCATACTCCCAGGCTGATAGACCCGTAACATTGTTATTTTACAGGTTTACATCGTTGTTTGCTGTTGAATTAAGATACACTGTTTCTTTATGATATAACGTTTTTCAAAACAACTTAATTTTAAGTGACCAGTGTAGGTCTTATTAATACCTGAGCTTTCTTGAGGGAACAGACACTCCTGTAGCCCAGAACCACCCTGGCTCTGCTAGTTGACCTTCAATTCAATTTATATCACAAGGGAAGAGCAGGATCCAAGCATAACACAGCATCAAGGTCAAACTATAAAGGGAAGAAATGCTATTCACATAACTCAGTTCTCCTGAGTGAAAACAGTTGTGGATTTTCTAACTGTACCCTATCTAGCATCACCTTTAAATGACTGCTAGTCATATATACATTGCTATATTTGGTTTCCCATTCTTTACACTGTAACAACCTATCCATGAGACTTGAATAACAAAGTTATAAAAATAAGGTTCCAATGTGTTTTTTTTTACATAGCATGTTTTCACCAGAACTTGTAATGTAGGTACAAGTGCTGGTGAAAACATGCTTTGATAGCAACCTTTAAATGGATAGTCTTGATTATCATCAAAAAACAGCCATTTGAATTTTAAAACAACTGTGTTTGGATGCACTAGAAAAACACATTATCCATAATTACCAAAAATATTCTTGGATTCTCCTGTAATAAACTCTACTTAGTGGTTAATATTCTTTCCAATTTTAAGACAGTATAAAATTACAATGTTTCTTTAGCATGCCAAGCGTAAATCAAAAACATGAATTGACAGACAGCTGAAATTATAAACAAACCTTTTCCATAAAAGAACCTTCTATAATAGTATGCTCCAAGGTCAATGTACTCTATGATGTAACGCTTCACTTTTTCTCTGTGAATAGGTTGGTTCTCCCTTGGCACTTCAAGAACAGAGACACCAGCATTAGTACAGTGAGAACTGAGTGATGATTCAAAGGAACACATTTCACCTGTAGTCAAGGCAAGAGAATTTGCCCTTGAAAGGGCAATCTGTCTGTCATTTTCCCCTCCGATCTCATTTCTGAAGTATGGACAGCTCAAAATAATATCGTTGCTTTTACCGTCACCTTCATCAGTTTCCAGAGTGGTTTTAGTGTCAGGATCCTCTTTGTTGTCTACAGCAGAGTCGCAGCCCCCAGACTGGCTTCCAGCTATAGAGGACTGCGATGCTGCCGATGCCCCCGTGGTTATATTTTTTCTTTTTGCAATGTTAGCCTGAGTTTCCATGGCTTCATTGACATCAAACAAAATGCTTTGTACGTCATAGTGGGCAAAACTTTTTTCACATGTCCACGGATGCATACTCTTTTCAAAGCTACCATCTTCAACGTCAAAGGAGCACTTTAAAACATCAGGCTCGCTTGATACACTTCTCTGCTGCTGAAACAGAGCGGGCTCAAAAGACTGTGTTCTCAAATATTTCTTAAACAGCCGGTCTCTTTTTTTCCCAGCCAACAAAGAGCTGTCCAAATAATCCAAATCTGAAATGCTAACAAAGGGACTCCTAGAAACTTGTCCAGCAGAGCGCATACTTGTAGAAACAGCAGCATCGTAATGGAAAACCTCAGAAAACTGCGTCAGATTTGCTTGGTCCATATTGTCCATTCTATAACCTTTGATCATTGCAAACAAGCTGTCTCCACACAAACCCTGCCTGTCTATTGAGGATGTACTCCCATATTCTCGATGTAGAGATGCTCCAGTGTTTGGATTAACAGCATTTTGGTCAAGAATATCATCTGTATCAGTATCGCTGATGGTAACATCACTGTTACTTCTCTGCCTTATAGGATGTAATAGCCCCCTGTGAGGTGAATGACAAAAGACATCTCCATTTAAATATTTAATCTGCAACAATTCTGGATCAAAAGGTTTCTCGTTCATATCAGTCTGTTCATTTTTTCCATCTGAACTTAAAGAAATGCTCTCATAACTTAATCGAGTTCGATATTTTAATGACATTTTGCTGCACCTTTCTTCTACTGAATCCTTTTTTGGCAGCCATTCAGAAACTCTTGCCCTTACACCCATTTTGGGCATTGCTGGTGTTCCATTGTTCTGTCCATTAGTATCAACTTTCCCCAGGGCATTTACTGTTGAAGATGGACCCATGCTGCTATTAACAGTCTTAAATGTTCTTCCAAAAAAGTCATCTGACTGCATGATGTTAAAAAAATCCTGTAAGCTTCTCTGTAGTTGCCTTTGCTACTCTTGTCCAACAAGAAAGAATCTATGTTTTATTTACATGATTATTCATTTTCTGACATCCGTGTTATTTTTAGAATTTTAACATGAGAGGCTTTTCTGAAATGTCTTGAGACATTGCTGAAGAAGCTTCTTTCCACTGGATGTGACACAAAACCTGTTTTCAAGAAAAGAAAAGTCATTAGTTGATTTAAAAAAAAAACGTTATATGCTCGTTAAAACAGAACTTATGTCAAAACATTTTGTTCAGTTCTGGACTGAGTAAAAGAAAGAACACATCATTTTTTTGGTAATATTGTATGCCCACTGGGCAAATTTCTGCCCACTATCTGTCTCGATGGCACCAGTTGCCTTCACAAGAACAGGGTAAAATCTTCCAAAGGGTAAATTGGAAAAAAAGCAATGAAAACCTGGCAGATGTTCTGACCAATCCCCATTCTATTTAATACTACTGGAGTTTTGATGACGTAGCTGGTTACTACCACTTTAACATAACTGATTATATGCAAAAGACACCCCCTCTATGCAAATCTCTATGCTAGCATTACAAATCCCTGGAATGTACTCTTTGTACACTTGAGATTTTGCTAACCAGAGAGTTTCAAATTCCCAACTCTCTGAAAATATTGGAACTGAACATACCGTATATTTAAATATTTGAAATTGTCCCCATTTTAATAACCTACATATTATTCAGGAAGAAATTATTCACACACCTGACCTGACACTATGTACACAGTGCAAGTAGACATGACAAGAAGGCCCAGAGTCAATAAGGGAAGCTCCTACAGAATCTGACACCAATTTCTGGGAAATGTATTTATAAAATGTAAACAAAATGGGTTTTTCTACATTTTAAATGTTCCATAGAATGTATTACCAGTTTATGATGTACTTCCCTTCCCTTGATTTTAGGGATTTAGTTAAGTACATATTGGAAGAAAATACTGACATGCATTCAGTGGACTGTTGCAGCTACTGTATGTGTCAAGTCAAAATCCCTTGGTGGAGGAAAACAATATAAAGTGAACAAAGCTTTAACAAAAACAGCCAAATGCTGCTGTCTGTGGTCATAGGAACACAATAAAAGCACAATGGACAGCAAACTCGCTAACATTCAGCTCAATACAATTCTCACATACTGGGAGTACTAAGCAGCACTTTAGATTGCATGAAAAGTGCTCTTGTTTTGCCATAAATAAACATCAAATCAAATGTTTTTTGCTGCTTTGCCTTACTAAACAATTCATGTACCGTATATACTCGAGTATAAGCCGAGATTTTCAGCCCATTTTTTTGGGTGAAAAGTGCCCCCCTCGGCTTATACTCGAGTCAGCGCCAGGTGTCATCTTACTTACCTCGCCGAGCGTCGCGTCACTGCTGCTCCGGTGTGCGGCGCTCCGAGCGGGGTCATCTGGCAGTCTCCGGGTCCTAATTTAGGTGGCCGGAGACTGCCAGATGACCCTGCTCGGAGCGCCGCCCACCGGAGCAGCAGTGACGCGACGCTCGGCGAGGTAAGTAAGAAGAAAAGAAAAAAAATCCCGCAGCGCCAGTACAGCAGGGGAGCAGGGATGAGTCAGCGGCGCGCTGGTCAGACGAGAGGAGCTCCAGGTGGGGTTGTAATTATCGGGCAGGCACCTCTAAGTCAGCTAAATTAGGACCCCACCTGGAGCTCCTCCCACTGGACCAGCGCGCCGCTGACTCGTCCCTGCTCCGGCACAGTGAATCACAGTAAGTGAGGGGAGATTGGGGGGGATTTATTACAGTAACCAATTATGTATTGTCTGCACTGTATTAGCAGTATATACTCTATATGGAGTATATACTGCTAATACAGTGCAGACAATACATTTACAATTATACTAACATGAATGTATTAAATGATCTGTATGTAGCCCTGTACTATGGATCATTTAACCCATTCATGTTAGCAGAGGATCATTGTAAATGTATTGTTGCAGGCACTCTATATGTACATGTACTATATACTACATATAGAATGCACTGAACAATAGATTTACAATTATCCTCTGCTAATATGAATGGGTTAAATGATCCGTAGTACATGATATGTAGCCCTGTACCCCCTTTTCCACTTACAGAGCTAGGTTATTTTTCTTTTAAATAAATATTAATGTAATTTTATTGGTATCTATCTACCAGTAGCTGCCTCATTTCCCACCCTCGGCTTATATTCGGGTCAATACTTTTTCCCAGTTTTTTTGGTAAAATTAGGTACCTCGGCTTATATTCGGGACGGCTTATACTCGAGTATATACGGTATATGCATTTTACAAAAACAGGTGGCAGATTAACATAAAAAGCTATTTGAATTTTGCAACAATGTTTTCCTTTTATTATATATCCTTTGGAGTTCCACAAGGGATCAGGACAATGCTAATAAGCAGAGATTTTAAAATAAAAAATAAATAAAATGTATATGTAACAGCTGAAAAGGCTCAGGTTAACGTTCATCTATTTGTGTATCAGACCAATGAAAATAGTTTAGCAACCTCACTGCTTAGTCTGCATATTTCTAGTAAAAACAGCTGGCATCTATGACTGGGGAAATTAAATGAGCCTGTGATATTTAAATTAATAGTACTAAAATTAGCTTAATCATCACTTCCTATGTACTGTGCATGAGGAACAATGGGTGACTCATGGTAAAAACTGTCTTAGGGGAATAAAAAGATGCCTCGGTTACAGAAGACAATAGGAAAGCACTATGTTAAAGACAAATGAATGTATCTCTTTTTAGAAAAGAGATACAATAGAATAGGAATCACTTCAAAAGCAATTGTACCAGGTACCAGTATGATTTCAAAAGATATCAATAGTTTGGTTTTACATTATATGGCAAGCTTGGAACAGAACAACTGAAAGAAAATCATGATTCTTTAATAACAGCAAATCATTTTTGACTTTAGGTTCAATAATGCAACTGAAACTTTTGTTTCAATTATTCAGGGATCCAGTCCCTTGGACCCCCACACCCCCATATTTTGGTTCCCATATCCACATAGGATATGCATATCCCCAGATAAGAACCCCGTCTCTGATTCAACTAGGTTTTCTGAGTATGTAAGGTGTTTGCATTTCTTGCATGGAGGACTAGTTTAATAACTGAATGCAGCAATGGCTATTAAATTAATATTTTAACATTATATGGACTAGAGTGTACAGTTATGTAGAACATGGAATGATAAAGAAGAACTCTAGACAAATAAAATATTAACCCTTGCAGTGGTACTACCCCAGCACTGCAATTGTTAAGTGCTCAATTTTCCTAGGGATCTTAAATAAGAGATATATGCACCCAAACTTTAATCCTAGCGGGCTCCTATATCAGTCCCTGCAGCATGTGTCCTCCACCACTCCAGTGATGGAATGTGTCTTGGCGTCCTCACGTCCTATACACTGTATTGGATGTGATGACTCACAGGACCTTATTCCACTGTATCGGAGAGGGAGCCAGGCTGAAGGGATTGGTCTAGCAGTCAGCTGGGATCATGGTTCAGGTGAGTGTATCTCTGTTATTTTAGCTCCTAGGCAAAATGAGCAATAAACTCTTGCAGTGCGGGGGTTGCACCACAGCAAGGGTTAAGATTTTATTTGCCCGGAGTTCTTATTTAAACATTTAAGATAAAAAGGGGACCAAATATAAAAAATACGCTCATATCATATCAATGTTAGATAAGTTCTTTGGACAGTGAAACATGACTCTTTCTTGGCACATGGGTCTTCGTAAAGTGCCTTATGCTAAAAAAACGCTTGCTTAGATTCAGATATCTGGCTCCACACAGTCACTAATTCCTCTAACCAGCCGGATCTGTATAGATTTTCCAGCTAGGCACACCTCATGTTATCTTGCCCTGTCACACACAGCTTTACTGTGGAGAGAGGTTCAGCCTATTATCACACTACTGTTAACCCAGCAATCAGCAGGAAGTGCAAAAGAGCACATCGGCAAAGACAAAGGAATATACTTAGAAAAGGATAAGATGGCCACCTGTGTTCCCTGAATCCTTTGCTCATTAGTCAATGTCATAGAAAAATGGGACAGAAAATCACGAGGGTCTAAGCATATAAAACAAATACACACACACATAAGAAAACAGGAAGTTTTACAAGTAGCAGCATGATTTTAAACAGACACACAAATCAGGACAAATAATTTTTTTACGCAATATTTGTGACAACCTCACCACAGGCTGTTGAGCAACTCTGTAATGTGCTCATTCTGATTAACCAGTCAAATTTAAGATAGTTTTCTTATTAAGTTACACAAGAGAAGAGGAAAAGAATACACAGCTGTTGATTATCTTTGATTTGGCTTAATATTTCCAAACAAGTCTGTCTGATCTCTAATAATTAACACCATTTAGGGACCCTGGTAATCATGGTTTATGGTGTGTATGATTAGCTGTAGACTGGACAAGTCTACAGGAATACATTTGGTAGAATCAAAAACATTTTTGTTGATATTCCTCAGAATCGGGGAAGTCGAATAGCTCAGAAGAAGCAAGTCAATCTTTAGAATCTACCCTCGCTGAGAACAAACTATGCAGTTTTAAAAGAGATGAAACCAAATAAACAGCCAGCCCCTGGTGGATTCTCCCTCCTGTAGTAAAAGATGTTACAAACCCAACCCTATGGCCCCTTTCTTGTTTTTTAACTCCTTACTGAAAGATCACCATTTCCCTGCAGAATGTCTAAGGGCCCACATCACTGTTATTCCCAAACAGGGCAAGGAACTCTTGCAGTATGCAAGCTACTGCCCTAGCTCTCTTCTGAACATTGACCTTAAGCTCTTCTGATATGTGTAGGCGTATCAAATGTCACTCTTTACTAACAGTAAAAATAAACAAAGTCATTGGATTACCTGCCCCTACAAAACAAGACCAGACAGGGGTACCCACTCTCAAGCTTCATCTTTATACTCACCTTAGAATCCT